GCGACCGCTGTCTTGACCTCCATTAACGAGAACCTCATTCCCACACAATTTCTGGGCCCCAAACCAAATGGTAGGTAAGTGTATGGAACCAATTGGTCCCTATTCTCCGGCATAAACCTCTCCGGATCCCAACGATCAGGGTTTGGGTAGTATTCCGGGCTGTGATGGAGGGTCTGAATGTCCAGGTTCACAATCATCCCTTTAGCAATTTTTAACCCTGTATCACCTAATTGTAGAAATTAAAAATAATTTATTTATTAATATTTTAAAAAGAAATTCTTAATATCAAACCAATTGTATATTCCTCTGCAGCCATTCTTCCAGTTTGTGGCACAGGATTATAGAGGCGAAGGGTTTCTGCTACACATGCCTCCAAATAATGCATTTTGGAAATACTCTCGTAATTGAAGTCTCCTTTAAAACGTCGGATTTCTTCGTATAATTTTCGTTGACAGCTCTCATCCAAAGCCAATGAATATAACAAATACGAGGTGAGAGTGGCTGTCGTTTCGTAACCGGCGATGAAGAATAGGAAAGAAGTGGACAGAATGTCGTCTTCCGTAATGCTTTCCTTGCGATTACTTTTGTCCACTTTTTCATTATTCACACCAAAGATCTTCTCGTGTCCGCTGTCATCGATATCCTGCTCATCCGTGTCATCCGATGAAGTGTTTAATGCATTTATCATAAGTTGTAAGTAATCGTTGTGTTTGGCTTTATCTGATTTACGTCGAGATATAATGGTTTGAATCTGAAAATATATAATAAGACATTAAATTATATTTATGTTTATAAATTTATATTAATTTATAATCTATGGTATTCTGACCGCGGAGTGAAAAAAGTTATAAATAGATGGGGAAACCATTTGAAACTTTAGCCATTTTACAAGTTTCGGAAATGTGGTGACCATTAGAAAAAATAATATCATCCGTGGATTAGGCTTAAAGATTTTCTCAGCGTTTACGACAAATTCACTTCTTTTCTGGTCGTTATAGACGTCTATTTTGGTGCCGAAAGCGCACGAAGAGATCACATCCATTGTTAGGTCGGACATCACTTTCTTCAATTCAATCTCATTATTGCTTTTATCGGAAGCCTTTGTCTCCAAATAGTCCTCTAATCTCTTAACACAATCGGTGACAATGGGATGCATTGAACGCATTCTTCCGCTCGAAAATGTTGGACTAATCTATACATTGAATATAACAAATAAATGTAATTTTAATAAAACTCAAAATCATTTGAATAGTTCTAACAATGGCTCGCATTTTCCTCCACTGGTCTCCCATCAGATTAAACAGCGATCTGTCGTTAAATGGGTCTCCGCTGTGAAAATCGTTGCGATCGACAAATACGTGGAAATCTTTGATTAATATATCTTTAATGTGTTCAGGGTCAGCTAAACATAACACTGGACGACTTCCTATGAACGCCCTAAAAATATATGAATATTCTAATTATTATTAATGTTGTTGTGTCCCTGGTGCTCTACTACAAACCCATATATTTTTCCATAACGTTTTGCATTATCCAATACAACTAATGGATTAGGTTTTAATAATATTTGATAAAACGTCCCAAAAAATACAATTGGCCTTGGTCCATCAATTCCTCTCGATTTCCAATAATTGAATGTCCGGGTCAAATAACTGTTAAAAATCAATTTAATTTTTAAAATTAAATGAATATAAAAAATAATTAATAATTTGCCGGTAATATACTTACAAATAGAGAGGTATTAGCGATATAATAAATATAGCACTTAAATGATACCAATATATGTTTAAGAAAAACATTGCTTTTTATACATATAGTATTTTATTAAACAGAATTATTTTCAAGAATTCATCTTATTCAAAATGGTATAAGAATTGATGATTATGGAGAATTTTTTGACATTTATTTTAAAATAAAATTTAGGGTTTGTTTTGAGTGTTTGTAACGAAAATAGACACATCAGAGAAAATACAAGGAGTTTGAGAGAAAATTTTCATATTCAAGGCCAGAATAATCACAATTCTGTTGACATGTTATACACAAAAATAAATGATGAAATTTTTGCGCAGATTCCTATCCGCCCTTTCCGTCATCCCTTTCCCTTAATATTCAATACACACGTGTTTAAAAAAATCAATACAAAAGGCTAAATACAAAGGCAATCCGTAATAATGCTGTATTCTGCATTGGATTATTTAATAAAAATCATACAATAAATGTATTGAGATAATTATTTAATTTATTTATCATTACAACGTTACACATTTATTACACAATATACATTTATTTGTGTAATAATAAATCATTTAATATAAATTATTTGTTTAAAAATGCTATTAAAAGATTATCAAGAATACTAAACATACAGAACATTTACATTGTATTGTAGAACTAATTTTAATTAGTTTACAAGCTAGTCAGTATTATAAATTTATTAATTGTTTTTACTTTCTCGACTTAATTCCCACTTTAATTTCGCCACAATTAAGTAAAAATTGCATTTTTTGTGGTTTGAGTTCAGTCGGAGTGTCGGCTGTTCTCGAGAATTCAAATTTGTTGACCAAATGGGCGGCCGCTGTCTTGGCCTCCATTAAGGCGAACCTCATTCCCACACAATTTCGGGGTCCCATTCCGAACGGCATATAAGTGTATGGAACCAATTGGTCCCTATTCTCCGGCATAAACCTCTCCGGATCCCAATGATCAGGGTTTGGGTAATACTCGGGGTTGTGATGAATGGACCAAACATTAATGTCCACAAAAGTGCCCTTTGGAATAGTAATCCCGGTGTCGCCTAATGTTTAAAAATATTATTTAATTCATATTATTACAATTTTTATAATCCTTATGCAAAACAAACCCAATTTATAGTCTTCAGCCGCTATTCTCTCATTAAAAACGAGTGGATTATAGAGCCTTAAAGTCTCGGCAATACATGCCTCCAAATAAGTCATTTTTACGATGTTTTCATAGCTATAGTCGCCATCAAAACGACTCACTTCTTCGTATAGCTTTCGCTGACATTTCTCATCCAATGCTAACCTATAGAAGAGGAAAGTTAGGAGAGAACCGGTTGTCTCATAACCGGCCACAAAGAATATGAAACTCGAGGCCAACACATCAACTTCGGTGACATCCATCTTGACTTTGTTTGCGATGGGATTCTTGATCGCATCGATCGGTCCATAGATTTGTTCACTTTTGTCTCCATCGATGTCCGGTTCATCACTGGTGTCTAATGTCTTATTCTGTGCGTTCAGCATAAGTTGCAAATAGTCTTTGTGTTTCACTTTATCTGCTTGACGTCTCGATATAATTGAGCGCACCTGGATCAGTTATTAGTTATTACCGTAAATAAATACAAAATTTATAGAATTACTAACAGCTGCTTTAAAGAAATTGGAAGCACCAGGGTCCATTAGTGATAGTCCTGTCCACTTGAGAAAGTTGGGGAACTGTACGACTATGAGGAATAGGACCCAAACCCTGACCGACGGATTCACTATCTTCTGAGCGTACGTCAAGAAATCACTCCTTTTCTCGCCATAAGTGTCTATTTTGGTACCGAAAGCGCTATCCGGAGAGGTTTATGCCGGAGAATAGGGACCAATTGGTTCCATACACTTACCTACCATTTGGTTTGGGGCCCAGAAATTGTGTGGGAATGAGGTTCTCGTTAATGGAGGTCAAGACAGCGGTCGCTCATTTGGTCAACAAATTTGTTTTCGTCAAAACGCCGGCAACGAAACCATTGACTAATGATATGATGAAAAAATTGCATTTAATTGTAAATTACGGTGATTTGAAAGTGGGCATTGAGCTAAGGACCCCGTTGAAATAATGTAATTTAATGAAACAATGTTATGGGGTATAGTTACTTACAGTATTCATATCTACTTACTGTAAGAAAATCCAATTTATAATTAAAAGCCAAATATAAATAAACTGTATTTACCGTAAGCTAGTGTGTGTCTAATCAATGATTAACAAACATAATTGCTTAATGTCTTCATTAACTTAAATAAATAATTATTTTTTATGTTAAATAAAATATTTCCTTTAAATATCGCACTGTTTAGAGATATTATTCCCGTTATTTTACAACAGATTTAAAATTTAATAAAAATAATTAAAATAATTAAACACCCTAGCCTATCACTTATTCTTAATAAGCTATTGACTAGTCTAGTTTTACAGTGAAAATTAAAACAACAAAATAAACATTTTCATGAAATTAAAGAAAATATAAAACTCATTTGAAAACAATAGGTTTGTCATTGAGTTATGTCTGGAATTAATGACTATAAATGAATCACATCTGTAAGGATCGTAAACACCATTAACTCAAAACAATAATAAAAGCGATGAAATGCTGGTATAAAAGCAGAAATTCTTGTAAACCATTGCAGATTCATAATTGAAGGTCACAATGTACCCATTGGACTTACACATGAATATTTTACAAATCTATTACTATACACAGAATAGTAACTTTTATATTATGTGTACTGTATATGAAATTTATATTACGAATAGCAACGTCTATATCACTATTGGGTTTATCGCGGCCCCAAAGTACTGAAAGGGGATAACAAACCTGATTAGAGGGAAGTCGCATAGAATCCAATGGAAATGTTGATTACAGTATAGAAACCAAATATAAATAAGCGTCAATTTCAATCTTCGTTCATAAAGAGACTGACAATTCACTCGTGAATATCTACTGACAAGTTTTTAACCAAGAAGTTTTGTGTCAAAAAAGTTTTTAATTTAGTTTAAACTTAACAATGTTTGGATTAAGTTATACCATATTAGCTGTTACTGTATCAGCACTGATCGCTATTTATGTGTAAGTATACTATTCTTACGTTTTGTTTGAATTATGTTATTAATTCTTAAATTTTAATTTATTTATTTAGTTATTTGGTCCGCAATTATAATTACTGGACATCTCGTGGAATAAAAGGTCCCAAACCTGTGGTCCTATTCGGCAATATTTTGGATCTTTTTTTCAAATCATTCCAAGAAATAGAAGAGCAAAGACTCAAGAAATATGGACCTATTTATGGGTTAGCTATCATTTCTATATAGTCTTTCATGTTTCATGAATTTATAATTCAGTTCTCAATAATGATTTATTAATGATGTTATATTTGGATGACAGCACATTCATGGGACGAGAGCCTGCACTGACAGTAGCCGATCCAGAATTGGTCAAAGATATTATGATTAAAGACTTCAATGTCTTTATTAATCGACGAGATATGGGATCTATGGATGAAATACTGGATCACGCGTTGACTGCTGTTAAAGACGATGACTGGAAGAGACTTCGATCTATTGTAAGCCTTTTAAGCACTTATTGTATTAATTTTTCATTAATATTAACACAATTCTCGTGGTTTAGGTGTCGCCGACATTCACAACCGGAAAAATCAGGAAAATGAATGAATTGGTCGAACATTGCGTGAAAAGTGTGGACAAAATNAGGAAAATGAATGAATTGGTCGAACATTGCGTGAAAAGTGTGGACAAAATGCTGGAAAAGGCGGCCAAAGATGAGAAGGAGATTGAAATGAAGGAATTGATGGGAAACTATACGATGGATGTGATCGCCAGCTGCGCCTTCGCCACGAAGACGGACACACATAACGACCCAAACAATCCGTTTGTGACGAACGCCAAAAAGCTGTTTAATCAGAGTATTTGGAGGTCTATACTGTTTATGATAAGCAGACGATTCATGAAATTCTTCAACATCTCCATAATTGAACCGACAGTTTACGACTTCTTCAAGAAAGCGGTCAGTAGTTGTCGAATAGACTTTCAAATCTATTTAAAATCATAATAATTAACAAAAATGTATGAATAGATCGCAGAAATTATGAAACAGCGAAAAGAGGATAAGAGTGGAAAACATCACGACTTTCTGCAGCTTATGATTAATGCACAGAAAAAAGTGGTCGACGTCGAGGAGATGGACGACAAATTAATGGACGCCGAGGCACACCATGGCATGGATGACAACAGCAAACTAATGACAAACACATCCAAACTGGAACTGACAGACATCGACATATTGGCCACGAGTTTTGTCTTCTTTTTGGCCGGTTATGAGACAACGG